TTGATGGAGAGTCAATACGGTAGTTAAAGGTTCTGCTAGTAGTGCAGCTGGCTGCGTTCTGGAGTTTATGGAATCTGTGCTGAAGGCCAATGAGAAACGAGTAGAGATTGTCTATATTAGAGAGTGGGTTTTAAAAGGGGAGGACTGCCTCCCTTTGGGGGCTGGGAATTAGGAAGGAATGTTTCGCACATGTTTTAGATGCAATAAATCAAACAAATCAATTTTCGTTTAACGTATGAATTTAATTTATTGTCAAAAACTCCTCTTCCTGGTTGTGAACTAAAATATATATAAACCCTTAATGTAACATTGTTTACATATTTCTTCTTCATGTTAAGCTAATGTTACTGCAGATACTTGCATATATATATTTTTTCATTTGTTTATCCAAAAAACAAACAAACAAAAAAAAACATCCTGCAAATGCTTTTATTTTTTTCTAGCGCTTAAAATGTACATGCCTCTGTTCCAGTACTATTAACCTGATGTGACCTGATGTTAAGCATGTTTTTATTATGCCGACAGTTTTCCTAAAAGAAAATTGTTGCAGAAAAAAATCAATATATCATTGTGCCTATAATATATGGCAACATATTTTATCGTTGTCCCTGTGTCGTACTGCAGGTTCGTGCCTATACGCAGCCCTATTTAAATGTCAGGACTCCACAGTGACTTTCGACACATGTCCACCAAAGACTTTAAGCCACCTCAGGGCTCAGACGGAGTCGACTCCAGCTTCAGTCAATTACCAGTTAATAAACAGGGGAAGTTTTCTATTAGTGCTTGTTAGTGCGTGTAAAAGATTGTTGGTATGTGGAATTGGGGGGAAGTCATTGTGACTATAGAATTAGAAAAAAAAAGGAAAATACAGCCACATTTCTCCATCTCTGGCTTAAATACCCAGCATCCACTTCTCTGTGTTCGTTCACTTTATGGATTTGAGTTTCTGCAGACTATACACTGCAATATATTGTATTTGCAAAATCATTTTTCCCCCTTTTAAAGAGTCCAGGCTGGAAGTGTGTGCTCAGTAGTTTTTGCCTGTGAGCAGTATTTAACACCAGACTATGGAGCACACTCTCCAATAAAGAGAATCCATTACATAGGCCCAACAAGGCTAATGCTCCTGAAGAAAAATGATGCATTCAACCTTTTTTGGATATCAACTATCACAAATATGATGAGTGTGATCCCCCCCCCACCCCTGAAATACAAGGAAAAAGAACTGCAGTGCTTTCAGAGGAAAACTGCTGCAACAGAAAAGTATTCTACCTGCGTACCTTTGGAAGAGGGCAATAATTGGATTTGGGAAGTCGTCCTGACCAACGGGGACAGTGCTGTGACGTGTGACAGCCCAGAGCAGGATTTATTAGAAACCTTCCTGTCATTTTAGGCCCCTACCAATAACTAGCATTACCTAAATTTGCTGACATAGAGCACAGAGTGCTGGGGGTGCATGTAACTAGGCAAAATGTTCACTGGAGATACAATCACAATAAAACATCCATTCTGTCCTGGAGGAATTGCTGTAATTGCTGACGTTGAACATTTATCTTCTGGAAAATGCAGTGTATGCTGCCTGGCCAACTGCTGCCACCATCTGACCTGGACGGGGTTTGAGGGACTCAGCCATTGGCAACCAGCAACTATGAGGATGTTTTCCAACAAATCGATAAATCTAGTTTTAATTACTGTCATTTCTGGACCATGAGCCCTGCTCTCTTTTGTAGTCTGCCTCAACATGTGTTCTAAGTGTTGGTTCAGTGTTTAGCTGTGCAGCATACATATGCTTTATTCCTCTTCATAAAGAGGAATGGTGCGGTCCAAAAATGCATTAGCTTAGCCCCCACTGTCCTGTGAATCCCATTAACTGCCCACCAGAGTGGGCATCAACCATTTTGATGCTCTAAGTGAGATTGTGGTTTGGCCCCTTAGTACTCCTGTTTTTTTTTTTCCGCTGATTTACAAAATCACTCCCTACAGTAGGTGGCGCCCTAGGTGACTACCTATGTGGCTACTGGTTGTTGTGTTTTTGAGCTCTTCATAGAAATCAGTGTATTCTCCAGTCCCTTGTCATAATCTTAATCTTCATCCTAAATCTAATCTGACCCCACAGTAAATCTAGAATTTGTAAAAATTATAATGCAATGGGGATGGGCAAAATGTCCCCACAACCATAGTGTCCCAAAGCATGTCCATACAAACATAGTTTAACCAGGAGTACACCCACACACTCACACACACTCTAAGACTCTCAGTGTCAACCTACCATAGACCGTATAATAGAACTGGACAAGTAAATGTGGTCCCTGTTATGGGTGTGTGCTGAAGTGACACAGTTGAATATCAGCAATATAACACACATACCCACAATGTGGAGGACTGACACCTGTCTCCACAGCCACTGTTTTTTTTTTTTACATTGGTGCCTAACAGATGCCCCGTCAACATTGGAATTGCCAGTGAGGCAGTCATTATGGAAAACCCACGTCTCCTCTGTGGCTGAGATGACGTCATACACATGTGCCAATGATCTCACTTTGGCTTTGGCCGCTGTCTTGACCACTGCTGCTTCTGCTGGCTGTTTATAGGAGTTCAATAAAAGAACCACAGGGTTTTCTCTATCGATCACATTCAACGGCTGCATGGAAACACAATCTATCCTGGTAGATAGGTGGTATTGGTGCACAGATATGGCTGCCTGTGTCGTTCAAGCCTGTTTGGGTTTAAATAATAAGATAAAGTTTGCCTCAATTACAATTTATTTTATAGGTTTAACACTCTTACATGTAAATAAATAAAATTACACATATGTATATATAAATATATATACTTAATATATATATGTGACAATGGTGAATCACTATTAATAGTATGGCATCTTGCAATTAATCTCGATTAGGGATGTAGCTGTTCATTTGTTACAATTATAAACTGAAAAGAGTTCCTTTCTTTACACAAACACTGTAAAACACCGTGTCCTTTCATCAAAAGTTCAACTGAAATAGTTACATCTTAAATAAAGTGCTCTGCCACCTAGTGTCGGCGTCTGTAAGCGCGCTCGTATCTTGAGGCAAAGATTTGCTCAAATGCTTGCTCGTATCTGAAATATATACTCATTGTACATATATATATATATAAACATATATACTGTATATATAAAGGCTGGGCAATGGTTAAAAATGAATCTTTTCATTAATTTTATAAATTACCACCATATATCACTGGTTACCATTGACACACATCTAATAACATGTATAATGTTTCATCATCTGATATCATATCCATCCACTTGTCTTCTAACCAGTCTTATCGTTATGTTTCAAGAGATGGCGACCCATTTTTTCAAAATAATGGATTTCTCACTTTTCATTTAAACATCAACTCTGATTTAGTCCTGTGCTCACTCCTGGACCAGTAAAACTTTTCCGACAGACTTCATAAGTCCCAGAGGTGTCGGCGCGCCGGCTCTGGAGAGTGCTAATATACAGAACAATCTCAGCCCGGGAAGATTGACCTCCAACACTTGCCATTCTCATGTGCCTGATGAAAATCCAGCCACCATCAAACGACCTGCACAGTTGACTGTAGTGTTGCAGTCCCCGAGCTCCACAGACACTCCGTCTCTCTCTTCACCTCAGGGCTTCCATATGGACCCCGCATTATGCCTGCTGCCTAATTACCTATCAGAGAACTTTTTACTACCCTTGATGGTGGACTGGCAGAAGGCGAGAGATGTGGAAAAAAAAAGAGGGCTGGGATGGAGGAAAAAAGAAGAAGAAGAGGCATAAAATAGATTGAGAGATAGGAATGAGGAATGGGAAAATGGGACTGTGATTGATACAGAGGACAAATGTTGCATCTGTGTTGTGAATGAGAATTAACGGAGACAGACAGGGGGGATGGAGGAATAGCCTGGCAGTACAGATGGGGTGAGCAGTGATCTGGCCTTCACCCTTCCTTTTTTTACACTAATAAATCCAAGAAGAGACAAAAATGAACATTTCAACTCAGAGGAAGCCCGTGATTGATGCTTTCCAACACAGCCATTACAGATGTGTCTTGCTAATTGCCGACCCTTCTTTCACTTTCTCCAAATCATGCCCTCAACAACCACACAGTTAGCTGGTCTGTATGTCACATGGCCCACCCTGAGTGGCCCCACACCAAAATAACAGTCATTCCCCAGACAGACAGAGTTCTGGGTGGAAAAGGCTGCCTCTCCACAGGGGTTTGATGCAGACTCTGGGCTGTAAATATCAACCTCCATCACTGCCTTTTCTGGCCCAGCAGTCTCCTATGTGACATAGGAAGTGTAGAAAAGTAGTTTGCTTCTCTGTTTGGTTTAAGATAGGCAATAATTGTGCAAAAATGATGTGCTTTTTGTAGAAGTGGTCTCGAGTTAACAACATGATGTGCTTTTTGTAGAAGTGGTCTCGTTTATACTGAAGCCTTTTATTTAGAGTTAACAACGTAGGAATAATTTATAATAAATTAAAACATACATACATTTTGTATGTAAAAAACATATATATCTATTTCACTATTTATTGAGTTATTTCATGGTGCTGTGTCGCAGTACTTCATGAATTCATTTTATTCGCTATGTGCTCTGGGTCAGCAGGTCCTTCTTCCACTAAAATGTCTCTCACCAGCTCCAGGCATGCTGCTTCTGACCAATGGATCAGACTAGATCAGTGCTAGCCCCGCCTACTGACTTTGATGGGCAAGTTTGACAGATTCATTTTGGCACCTTTACTCCTCCACAGAAAACTGTTAACCTGTTTGAAATGACCAACATGTGTGGGAGGCAGCTTCGATGCTCTGCATATTTACAGTAATAATAACTTACAATGATTCCACATCAACAGTGAGACCCAGGTGCTGGTTACACTGTCATTTTATTGTTTTTTTTAAAACAGGCGTGGAGGTTCATTGAAGTACAGGCGTAAAGCAGTGACACGTATTTATCTGTAAATACATTTGTTTTTCTCTTACAGCTCGAAGCTGCTGTTCATAATCCTGTCCACTGTGCACTGTTGGGATTTTCTGCAGCCAGCACCTCCTTACCTCAAGGCTACCTCTGGGTAATGTTCTGCTTTCACACACACAGACACACACACACACAGACAGACACTGACAGATAATGTCTTTTGAATAATTTAGTGTTACATAATTACTGCAGTTTTGGTATTAAAATACCAAATTTCAGCTAAAAAAATATGCTTATCCTTTCTGGACCTTGTGGGACTTAGAATGTTTGTCCCTGTGAAATTTAAAACTATCAAAGACAAAGCAAATAAGAAAGGACGTTTATGAAGACGGGTCAAATTTTGCTGCTTGACTACTGCATTATGATCCCTTAAAACTTAGTGGACCTGAAAAAAACAAACAAAAACGTATGTATTACAGTGTTTAGAGTGAAAGTATGATATTATTACTGTTGAGTATCTCAAGGATAGCTCCTTTTACAGCGGATGTGGCGGAGGTCGAGGTCAACAAAAAACAGTTCGTAGAACAGGGAAACTAAAATTAAAAGACAACAGAAATGTGTTAAAGAATATATAAAAAATATATTATATATACAGCATAAGTTCCCAAGTCATATGTTAGCCAAGCTCTACTCACCTAACACTGCTGATTCACTGTTCCTTATTGGCTACATCCTGAGCCAATCAGAGTGCTTGTTACACTCTATAAGCAGTATCACAATCTACCTAACTCACATATTTGACTGAAGCATTTTTTTCTCTTTCCTGAAAATGTATAAAATATAACTTGTGGCTAACAATATGCAGAGGTAATAAGGAAACGCTAAAGATTGAGACCCGCCTGATGTTTCAGCAGCGCCATTGTTACTGATGTTGATTTGATAAATCTGTGAAGCTCAAACACCATGAAAAATGTCAGTTAAAATAAAGAAAAACAAAAAACAAATGAGAGTCCTTGATAGAGAGGGCGTAATAATTAAAGAGACTTTCAGCTGAACACTGCTGCTGTGCAGAACAGCTCTCCATTAGACTTTGTTGGAACTCGGCTGTGATCAAGTACGATTAACTTGTGCCAAGACAAATTATACATTCATTCATCGATGGTGTGTATTTTCCATTGTTTGCAGTGTATGTACTTGACCTAAGGACATCTGAGTAATGCTCTTAAAGCAGGGGCTCTCAAATCTTTTCATCAAATCATTCCCCTCTTTAAACATTTTCAAAGCACTTGTTCCAATCTTGACAAAATACATTTCAATTTTATTGAATTAACACCAAATGTCATCACATTTTATAATTAATCAAAATGAATAACATCAAATAACACAAAGATCAAAAAGACAAAATAGTGCGGTTGTGTAATCATCAGCTGAACATCAACTGATCTGTCTCCGTTCCAGTGGGACCCGCCCCACACTTTGAGAAGCACTGTCTGGAAGGTTGATTGTGATCATGATCCAGTCAAACAGATTACAATCCATGTTTTCACTCCATGAGTTTGGAACGTTGAATTACACTTTTGACAATTTGAAAGAGGCTTGAACCTCAAGACAAAATACTTCCCATCTTTAACTACTTACTGCACGAAACACATGAATGTAAACATGAATGTTAACCCACCAAAAATGATTGGAAACACAGTCATGTGCAATAACATCAACCACTTGCTGAGTGCTAAGTTGTTTTTTTGTATAAGTTATTAGCAACTTTTCTGTACTTTTTTCCAAAATGGCTAACTGTGAACATCATTCCTCTGTTACAAACTGAGAACAACAGCAACATCTTCTTCTCCTGCTCTTTTTCCTACTTTCTCTCCCTTTTTCCATTTTCTTCACCAGCTTCTCCTTCATCTTCTATTTTTCCTTCTTTGTTATTCATTTTTTCCCCATTTTTTCTCCTTTTGTGCCTGCAAAGTTGGCAGCGTCACTGCTGAGTGGCTGTGTTTTATAGCCTCCAGTTGGTTGTACCTCCTTGTCAAATAGGGAATGACAGTAATCATGTTAATGTGAGATGGGATAAAGGGAATTTTCGGATGCTTTGATCAAAGTAATGACATTATGTCCAATCAGAGTGATTACCCAGTGTTTCCCAGTTTGCCTTCTTGGCCCACTTTCCCCCTTAAATCTTTCTTCTTATACTGAATTTTACATCAACTCTTCATAAACCCTACAGACAGTGTTTAGGTTCATGGCAAACGTCCATGATGGAGACATTTTCTACCTTTTTTATATTAGGTATTTCAACAATGGTGATTCATCCTCTTGGCTTCTTCTGTTGCTATCATGTTTGTTCTCCTGGGCTCCCTCACTGTGTCCAATACAATCTCATTAATGCTGGCAGAGTATTTTCGGTTTCTGTAGTTGTTGCTTTTTTAAAGTGAGAGGAGGAGTCTGTCCAGGGCCCAGCTCCAAAGATCTATTTCTCCAAATAAGTAGTGATGACTTTGTCAGGACACTGTATTCACCCCAAAAACAGAGGGTTTTCAGTTGATTAGAGCTGAAGGTGTTACGTGAAAAGAGGAGAAGGAAGTAAGGAGGTACACTTAGAAATGTGAGGAGGAACAGTGGTTTGAGGTTCTTGCCTTTGGGCTTCTTACTGCACATACTTTTATTAATGTTTTTTACAAGGCGGGGTCACTGTAATGTGATTTTAGCAATCTTAAAAGACCATCGAATTACATATTATGCAACGTGGATCTGATAAACCTCGGTACGATGTCTACTGTGATGTGTGCAGATTGCGCAATGACAAGGTTACAATGTACGTAACAAACAAGGAGAATGATTGTTGTGGCATTTTTGTGCACACAAAACAATCTGAAGATTAGTAGACGTAGAAGCTGACACATTATGACTTAGTCATCCTAAATTTCTGACACGCTACAATTCTATTTTGGGTTATCTTTGGTCACAAGATGCTAACAAGGGCCATCCTTGAACTTGTCTCATGGTGTAAGACATCTCCACGTTTCTACGATAGTCATTTTTTTGTCTGCACATTCCAAAATCGCACAATGTCTCCTGGCCGTAAGGTATGTCTCCCTTGTCCCAGTGTAGACCTGAATATCATGTGTTCTGGTTCATTCTAAAGTCAAGAGCCTGGAGAATCACTTCTGTCCAGTTTCCTCGCGTTGATACGAATCCAACACATGATTGCATGCAAATAGTGGGGAGCATGAAGGAGAGGAGCAAATGATCGTATTTGTAGCTCATGCTGGACCAATAGACAGCTGGTATTCTTTCCACGATGCGCCTTGTATTGTTTTACGGACCTTCCCCTCAACCTTACACAGGAGTAATGAAAGAAAGAAATGATACTGAAAATTCCACAGCGACAGTTTAATTGTTTCCGAGTGGGAACAGTGCCACCTTAATAGGGAGTGCATCAAGGATGGGTCACGGGGCTCCTTCTGTTGTGGTTGTCTCGATGTTGGGGTGGAACAGTGTGCACAAAGACCACGTGGGAAATCGAGTCTCCAATGAGACTAGCAGTTTGTCTTTGGGGTTTGAATCTCCTCTGAATGCTTAGTCTCACTTTGTTTTGTTAATATGAAGTAAAAAATCATATTTAGACTATTAAATTAAAGTTATATTATTTTTGAGGGGAGTTCTAATTGTATTTTTATTTTCATGTTAAACCTGTTTTTCCAATTAAAATGGCTGAGGCTGCACTCTGGGCCGTTGTACCGCGCCCTAACATGATTGCCCACTAAAGCATCGATTCTAGGGCTTGTGTGAGTGCCAAATAGCCTCGGGTTAATGTGAGTGCGGGCAAAAGAGGGTACAGGGAAGGGGGTCAATTACCACTTTAGCAACTGGCCTTAGTTTGAGTGCACTCTAAATGTACATTTTTTTAATGGTGGCTTTACGAATAAAATGGACAAATAAATGTAAAACGAAATGAAATGAAGAACTTACCCCAGTACTGTACAACTCAAGGAGACACTGCTTTGATCAAATGAAAAGTACAAGTTTAGAATTGTTGAAAAATTCTGGGTCTTTGAAGAAAAGAGAAACTCATCTTACTTGTCTGGAGAGATTATAGAGTTCTTGGAATCTTTGACAGTGGAGAGGTGTGTAGTGAATAAAAGCTATGAGATGGTTTTAATTCTAAGTGTTTTTTTATAAAAAGGAAGAATGTGAGGACAGAATCTGAAGTAATATTGAACTGAAATGATCTTGAAAGGTCGTCATTAAACTTAAAACTTAAACTTATCTTTATTTGTCATTTGTGACAAAGCACAGCACAGCACACCATGCACAATGAAATTTAACCTCTGCATTTAACCCATCACCAAGTGAACAGTGGGCAGCTGTTTTCGAACCTGGGGCCTTCCGGACCGAAGTCCGCTTCCTTTACCACTAGGCCACCACTGCCTCGTGGTTCTTATTACATTGTGTACCTGAACACACACGTCAGAGGAATATTAAAATTCTTTGGTGTTTTGATCAAACCCATGGCTGCAGTGTGATATTTTGGAATATATCCTTCCTCTGTTTCTCTGTGCAGGTGGCAGGTGGAGGGGGTGGCTCTCATGGGACTATAGAAATATTTTCCCTTAACAGGCCAATGCCACGGGCTGTGAAGAGCCTGCAGGTGGACGGGGCTGTCAGGTGTCTGCAGTATGTTCCTGGACCTTCTAAGGCAGAAGAAATGGAGTCTGGAGCTCACAAGGCAGCCTCAGGGACCGGCACCACCATTTGTGTTGGATTAGACGATGGCCGGTGAGGAAGTAATCACACATTCACACACACACACACACACACACACACACACACCTTATATGGACATATGTGTTCTTGAGTTTCCTGCTCAAACCTCAACTATTACAATTACAAATAAATGTCTAATCTTAATTCTCCAAACTCAGTCTTGAACCAGTGTTAAATGCACTGTGACTGAGTATCTGCTGAATGTGGTTCTATACTGCAGCGGTTAGTATTCCTGCCCTGGAAGAAGAGAGCAGAGAGAGTCCTGGGTTTGATTCCCAGAGGAACCACATGCTTCATTGTTAATCCTCCTCTTGTCGCTTTGGATAGAAGAGTCTGCTAAATGCATAAATGGAAATGTTGCCATGTGTGCATGTGTCCACATAACAATAGTATTTGTCCAAATTTTGTCTCCACATGTATAGCTGTACCAAGAACACACACATACTTACATCACTATTACACAAGGTATTACATTTAGGTATTTTATATTTCATTCACAAACATCATGGTCCAAACAACAGAAAACATGGGGCTCAGGGCTGGACCTTGATGCGCCCTGCCCTTAACCTTCACCCACCTGCCGTTCTGACTGCGCGCCTCACCACTGTGTCCTTCACCACACTCACATACTTCTCTGCCACTCCTGGGTTGCATATGCAGTACCACAGTTCCTCTTTTAGAAAAAAAAACCTTTCAAACTTGTACAGCGACATAGCCTCACGGCTGCTCTTCATTTAATCGTCTACCTCTAATAGCATTCATAGTGGCCAGGGGTGGGAAGGGCGGGGTCTGAAGCCAATCCCAGGTTGGTAGCATGTTTTTGGACAGTGGAAAGTCCATTCTAATTGGTCTCTGGTTAAAGGTTTCATTAATAAAGTTGGTTCCATATTTACTGAGTACGCCCCTACAGTTCTTTTGTTTTTTTGTCCAAACCTGTGAAAAGACTGTGTGAGAGCCCGCATTTTTGGTCAGCAGTTTTTTTATGCTGATGCATTCTCTTTCATTATCTGTCTGGGCCAAGAGAAAAAAGAAAACATCCTACAGTAACAAAAAGAAAAGAAAACAAATTTTCAGCAATTCAGCACACTCTAGTCTGCCATTTTCACTCCTGCTTGACATTTTCCTCTCACACAGAGAGATATAAATGGCAGTTTGCATTTGTCATGCTGAAGAACACAAAAAGATTCCTGACTGCTGGTATGGGATATCAAACATGAAAAGACAGAGAGGCTGCTCCGAGACAAAGCTTCGCTCCAAAGTGAACTGTTAAATCACGCCCAGAGAAGAAGAAGGAAGTTTGTCATCTCAAACGAATCTCATTTATAACATTTGTTTGTGCTGCTGTTTTTTTTTTCACTTTCAGGATTCTGGTGTATGGCAGTGTGGACACTGCAGCACAATGTCTATTGACACACCAGAACCCTGAGGGCTGCCCGGTGTTGTGCCTGAAGCACTCGTCTCGCTTCCTGTTTGCTGGTCTGCAGAACGGTACCATAAAAGTTTACAGGAGAAATGACAATGGTGAGATCATTATGGAATTGTTTACCTTTACTGTGTCAGCAGTAGATGCTGCTGCTGCTGCTGCTGCTGCTGCTCTCTGTGGTACATTTTCTTATTACAAATGCAAACCGTACTGGGTTAAGGAGTCAGATCATTGGGTATTAGCACAAATGGACATCCATTGTTTTAGACTTCAGGCTTTGTTGTAATTTTGAAGTGATGGTGCAATTCTCTGCCTGACAGGTTTTAATAAAATATATATATATAAAATAAAAATGTATATATATTATATATTATATAAGGTGTATTATATATTTTTTAACAAATATATACACAAAGCAACAAAAGGCATCAACACAGATGATGTATAATGTAACATTAATAATATTAATAATTGTGATTACAATTAATCGTGATTAATGCATAGGTTTTTTAAGATTCAATATGTTTTTAATCCTAATTTTTTTTTTAATAAATATTCACGATGGGAGTCAATCATCCAAAAAGTGCGATTTTCAGGTAGTTGGTTATACTTCTGCACATGAAAAGGTTAGGGTGTTTCCACCTACAGTAGTTTTAATATTTATTAATATATAATATTGATGAAGACTTCTCATAGGTTTTCTTTGAGTTTTTTTTTTTAACACTTTTCTGACCATCTATTCTTGTATTGTGGAGCGTTTACAAAGACATTCTGTACAGACCTTCCACTTTCATCACCTCACCCACACATGGGTCGGGCTCCCAGGACGTTCTGTTAAGAACTTCAGTCCCACAAGGTTGAACAGAAAAAAATTTCAAACAAAAAAGACCATATTAGCCAGTGGATGCTGTAAAACTGAAGTCTGTCAATGTTTGTAAAGGTTTTAATTTATTCAGTATATCCTGTACCATAACGCAGGTTTCAAATATATTTAGTTTTACGTTGTTAATGCATTGTATTTGAAACAGGTCTGTCTTAGAAAAGTGATTTTCCCCTTGGAGAGACTCAACTGGTCAAATAATGGTTACATAAAAAAACAACATAATATTAAGTTGTACTACTGCATTTAAGCAATTATAACATAACATATGGCACAGACACAATATACAGTATTTTCATATGTAATAAAATATAATAATCATCTAGTTCAAATGAACTCATAATTGACTAAAATCTCAGCCTATTTAGTTAAAGTCAATGCTGATATCCTGGCAGGGATTGAAGAAAGAAAACACTCACAAAGATCTTCTTCAACAGCTGATTATCTTTTTTTTTAGTTGTCATAGACATCTGCTGCCACCTAGCAGAAGAGCATTTAATTGTTATGCCTTTCATGGTTTGACGAGCAAAGAAAATTATTTGCAATAAATAAATATTAGTTTTCAGCCCAATTAGGTAAAATTGGATCATTTTCCACAGCTAATGATCTCACACGACACACTAGTGTGCCACGGCGCAGTGTTTGGAAATCACTGCAGTACTTCATAGTACACTTTTGTCTGCATGGTCATAATATAAACCTTGGACCGCCTTTTCCCCTGGAGTCACATGTCGTAGTGTTAGCCATTTTCACACCTAGGGTAAGTATGAAAACAACACCTCACCATGTGGTAAATGGCATGAAATGTTCAGTAAGGCATTGCACAATGGCCGCAGGAGGGGGAGATGGGAGGTGGGGTGGGCTTGGTGTGTGTACTTAACACCATCTCAGCAGTACTTTGCTGTCCTCACAGCCGGTGGAAACACAGTACTCCTATCACCTTGTTTTTCGTTGTTGTTTTTTTTTTTTTCGTACCTGGCTTGAGCGCATCAGCGTGTCTGCCTTTCTTCTGCCTGTGCACTCGTTTCCCTCTCAAGCAGAAAGGATGATTAATTACGCCAAGCTGCTGCATGCCGATTAAATATTACTATTCATGCTTTGTATATGAAAAAAGGGGAGGTTGGAGAAAAGCTCTGGAGGCTGTGATTGTTTGTGAATGCGGCACATCTGTTAAAGATTTATGCCTCTAAATGTCTATTAAAATAAGCCTGCAACAGCTTAAAAAAAGAAGCTTGAATTTAGAGCTGTGTCAGTGAGATACACATCAGCCGTCATGTCAGCTCAAAAAAAGTTCCACCCAGAGAAGTCAAAAATAAGTTGCAGTGTCGGTGCTAAGTGCACAGTGATGGAAAGACATTCACAAGCGTACAATTTTAAAAAGGTGGGAACGTGACCTTTCTAACATGCCAAGCAGTTAACGTCAGGGGAAGTCAGGGGCTATTGTAAAGCCATTCTGCTATGAAAGGGAGAAATAAACAACTCCAAATGTTAATTAAATGGCTTGATGGACCCTCCCGCCCCACCACCCCCGTCCCTTCTGTAATTTAGCTTCATTAACGCAGAGCAAAAGAAATGCTTATGTAATTCACTCTGTAATGTGCTTCTGTGGCAGCTGAGAAGGGTGCCGTGTGATTAAAAGTCAAAGGAAAAAAGGGATTCTGCTCCAATTTCACAATGATGAAGCAGAAGAGCGGGTGAGACAGTAAGAGAGTGGAAGAAAGTCAGCAAGTGGATTAAAGTGTACACAAGAGTTATTAGCATGTGGGTGGCGAAGTCTGCGCTGCTGTGTGCTGAGATTTAAATAGAGGTCCGTGGTCTTTATTTAGTCGAGCAGCAGTTTAGATTCTCTCACACAGTCGCTTTTCATTAAAGTGAAATAAAACAAGCCTCCACTGTGAGCTGCCCTCACTGATGCTTCGGTAATTGCTTAATAACTTCTTACGTCTTCAGAAATATCTTTTGAAATGAACACCAGTGCATCTGGCTGTAACAAGTAGGCAGGAATAAAAGTAATGACTCTAAACAGAGAAAACATTGTGGCAAATGAAACGTATGTTTTTATAATTATACAATTATAATATATATTTTTTATTTAAAAATGTGACGACTGACACCAACATTTCTTTCCCACAAATGTTACATCACTTTAGGAATTTCTAACAAATGGAGACCTTTTTCTGTGAAAGGAACCTTGTCAGGGTGTTGGTCCAAATATTTGTGTCTCAGGAGAATCCGTCTATTCTTTAAGTGTCTGTAACAACAAGCTAGGTGTTTTATAATCTGCCAAAATCGTTCACTTTGATTTCACGCACACACATTGTGATGTCACAAAGAAACGTTAGTAGTTTCAATAAATAAAATGTCAAATCACCTGGACCCTAGTACTAGTCAGATTTGAAATGATAAATTCTATGAATCACTCTTTGTATTTGTTTCTCTTTGATCCAACACTGATTTGTTTAAACATTTCATTTTTTCCTGACTTCATCAGCCTTCACTTTTGTTTTTCCAGATGATCTTTGGAATTCCGACTCCTGCCAAAGTGTGAACCTGGGTTCAGAACCAGTGAGAACGTTGCTGGTGTTAGACGACTCGTTGTGGGCCAGCTGTGGGAACACAGTCACGGTGGTGGACATGCCCAGTCTGAGGACTCAGGTAACAGCACGGTTACACTGCTGCAGTGTAAACGAACAAACCAGGGTCCAGACCTGAGCTATAACAATGGAAGGATGGATGTGTGGCTGCATACATTAATGAATGGCTGGGCCTACGGATGGACGGGGGGCTGACGGATGTGTGGCTGACTTACAAAGGTAGATGGATCGTTAATTGAACTCCACCCCTCATAGAAACATCAAAAACATAAATATAAACAAATACATTGATAATATCAAATAATAATAATTAAGAAAACATTTTATATTGTTGTTATAAAATGGGTTAAATAAATAACCCGGCGAGGGGACAGTGAGAGAGACAGCGTCAAGTGAAAAAATGGAGCTCGGTTGAGCACTCGTAACTCGATGTACATATAACCAGCAGTTGGTTTTTTTTGCAAGGTCGACTCCTCTCACAGCTGCAGCTGATAAATATTCCAAGTCTTAGCTAAACCATGGTCCAGAGACCTGAATGGATGAGTCCACGGATGAAACTTCTCCACAAGGTTGTTTTTTTGTCATTAGTTAGTTTTTTTTTTCCTTCACCTTTCGAGAAAATTTTCCCTCTTTTCAACTTTGAAAAAAAAAGATTTATGCACACAGCCTCATAGAGCCAGCTGTATAATCTGTGATGTCATCAAGATATACTGCCTGGAGCTGCTGCATGGACAACAGATCAAAGCCTTCGTGGAACAGTCGAATTTTTGCGGAGAGGCTTCCACACAAACACTTATCAGATTTATTTTGCAGCAACGCGCCGAGCTCCGAGTTATGGCGCAGGAATTCACGCCATTATCTTCAGAGAACCATCCGGGTTCTTGTATCTGTCATGCTAAAGTTTTCCTCCAAGGTGTTCATCTATACTGTGTGACATTAGAGCCGTGGAGGGGTGGGGGGGTCGGGCGAGGGGAAGGAGGGCATCTTCAACGGTGGTGCCTGATAATGAATAGAGAAAAACATACTCTGCTGGGTAACGTTAATGTGATATCACAAATCTGAAATGCAAACCATTACCATTTAATTATGTTTGTGTGTGTGTTTGTGTGTGTGTTTGTGTGTGTGGGCTTCTCTTGATGAAAATGTACAAGGTCTTTTGTTGAGCACAAGTGTGTGTACTAAACAGACCTTCCCTGAACAAGAAAACAGTCACGATAAGTAGAAAGCAAAACAACCCTTGGAACAAAAACAAAAACACACTGACAGTTAGCAAAACACATTGGTTTTAATGGAGGTATTACAACAACGGTGAGAAAAATAGAAGAATCTCATAAAGATTATTCGTCAGTTTTCACCGTCTGTACAATAGATACTTTATGAGTTTAAGTTTTTGATCAGGTAGGTTTCAAGGTTAAAAGATGTGACGTGAAGTCACCGTGGCGATGTATTCCTAAGGCACTGACAACTTAGAAAGTCGATGTCGGTGCTCTTTTATTCTGAGCGGTAGAAATATAAATGACTGCTGCTGGGACTGGGCTGATATCACCGAGCAGGCCCGAGTCAAAGATCAACTCGGAGAACGGTTCTGGAGGAATATATTCTCCTGTGTTACTGCGTATGCTGTGTGTCGTTTACCTAAAGCATGCAGAAAAACACATTATCAAACACAGCAGGGGCTTCACATGGGGCTGCACGGGGGCTTTGCTCCCGTTACTGCTCAGGAAACCAGGACCTTGGGAGCTGCTCAGAGGTCTATGAACCCACTGTCGCCTCATTCATTCACATTCATCATAAAATATCAATGAGCGTTTAGCTATAAAGCTTGGAAAAATGTAGTTTCTGCCTCCATTGTATACTTGCCAGAAGAGATGTGCCCTCCTTTGTGTTGCCCGCTTCAAACTATGAACGTCAGACAGGAAAACTCAGGTGTGACGTATATTTGAAGCCGGTGAAGTCGTCCTTGAGATTCACACATTTGAGTGAACTGAGCTCAGACATCTTATTTTTATTCCTCCACCTCCTTTTTCTTTACCCTTTACCATCCCCCCGAGACACAGGCTTAATCATCTGAATAGCCATGTAGCGGATGCAGTGTTCTGGTTCACTGTACCCCCACTGCTGCTCAGGTCTGGTTAGCTCTTTGCTAACCTTGTCTTCCTGGCTAATGCAGTCTCCCGAGAGCTGACTTCACAGAGGGGGCACCGGTGCATATCTGGGATCTGGAAAAAGCAGAGCTTGGCACCTGAAGCAGGAGACATGACTCGGAGCGAGGCTCACATTCATTTAGCTTCCTTCTGTTGTTTCCCCCCGTGGATTTTGAACGCTTTGTTAGATTTGCAGCACCTTTTTGAATCGTTTATCCGTGTCTTTGCTGGACACGGCGGCTCGCCTCGTTTGACGTCACAGATCTGCTCACTCCTCCTCGGCCTGTCTTTAAATCTTCACAGATTTCTTTGACTCTTCAGTGTCATTGAAATACACATTTTCAGTCTACTGGCAGTGAGTCCGACTCCTCACTTGCTTTGATTTCAAATTGCCTTTGTCGAAATAACAAAGAAGTCATCCAGACTTGGAAACCTATCAGTATAGTTTGTGCTTTGTACTATTCAATTATTTATACTGCAGCCTAAAGGGGATAGATGAAAATTATACAGCTATCAAAACCCCGGCAATACAACAGCCGTGTGTAAAGACAGTGTAATGACAGCATGCGGCGAGGGTTCATGAGCTGATAAATATTTCATTCCTAATATTTTGACACAACCTTACTTTTGACAGTTTAAAGACACTAAGACAGCTTTGGTTTTGGGCCCACAGCCTGAAAAAAGACGGTAAAATGTTAATTTTTGCTACTGATGTGATTCAGCCATCCCGCTATTTCATCAGCGTCCTCGGTGTCCTGCTCTGAGAGAGAAGGGTAAAAAGCAGCCAAGGACCTAGTTTTTCAGAGATCAGGAGACCGTGTTATTGGACCGTCACCCTGACCTTTAATGACAAAAAAAAAGAAAGCTGTTTTTCCTCAGCCCAGTGCCTGTGGAGCTGCACGGCTCATACAGCCGGCACACACACATTCCAGACTCCGTCCTCAAAAATCACTGCCTCCGAACATAACGATCCAAAACTTCATTCAGAGCCAGGGCATGTTTACACACAAAATACTTTCTCACACAAATCAAATTTAGTGTTGCTGGTGTAACTCCCTGCCTAGTCATACATGCAGCCGACAGGGTGAGAGATGAGCCTCAAACTGCAGAAGCAGTTAATATGGACCACTAAAGTGTGGCACTCACATGGCTAGCTCCACAGCCACGGTGTCCACAGTCGTTCAAAGAGAATCCTGAAGAAGAATGCTTTATTACCAGCCGTGGAGTCAGGAGATTCAGTGGCAGCTGCTAGAAATGGTTGGCACTCGTGTGGTGACGAGCCTGGGGTCGGTCTGTGGTATTTCCCTGCTTCCAAGGAAGACTGTCTGGCCAATATTGGACTTGTGTGCAACGAACAAAACACCAGTTAATCTTACACCACCGTCTTGCAGACATAACCTAAAATCTTCTTTTTTACCTTGAAGACATTTATCAGATTTTGTAAAAGTAACACTTTTGCTTCTGCTTTTTCACAGCATCAGGGTTTTGTTGTATGTTGATGACCTGGTAGGTGGCTCCAGGGAGTTAGCTGTTGTCCACACTCAGACAAGGTCATCCAGCAGAAAAACAGGGGTTTTACTGAAAAATGAGAAACCCTTCTGCGTGACCTTCCACCTGTAACTCTGTGTTTTTGAGTCTGCAGTTAAAGTGGCTCTGTTATCCAAGGGAAATGCATAAAAACCATCAGAGACGTTCAGCCGAATAATTGGTCGGTTTTGATGATCTCACTGTGGGAGTACTGAGCGTCATCACTCTTCCTTACAATTATGTGATTTAGTCAGTGAGTCCAGACGTCGAGTTCTGTCGTCTGGTCTTTGACACTTAAGTTCCAACACATGCAGTCAACCGTTCAGAATTACATTATTTAAATCATCAAGAAAATGAATTCTTTATTTTTTTGGGGTCACATTTCTCAGGACAGACTTGTTAAAACCTTAGTTTAGAGGTGTCTAGAAGAGGTGTTTGGCCCTAACCCTGATGAAGATCAACAGAAACCACCCTCTCTGGTTCAGGATAAAATCCCTGTCATCTTGTACAGAATAAAGTCAAAGTCTTCAGATTGGTGATTTTACTTGAACAGCTATTTTCTCTGTTCATTTGTGTCCATATAAACACGGTGATTGCGCCATTGAAAATGTACGGTAGATTAGGTGACCCGAGAGACAGAATGACTCTAACGGTCCATCCAATGGGCCCTGTTTACATTCTTTTCCAATTCAATCCCATTACAGGAGGTTTTGACCAATCGTGGAGCAGTTTAGAAGGGGATAGAACGTTGTCTCTTATTGCCTGTTCCACTTTAACTACCCTGGATAGAGGCCCCCATGGTGGTATGATTGCTTCTGTAGCACTAGCAGCAAGCACTACACCAGTGCTAGTCCAAAAGAGAGTTGGCAATAAGGGGCAATAAAATGCGTGACAATATCAGCAGAGGGTTTTACAGACAGAGAGATGGCCCCAGGTCAGACGTCATGTATGAAATCTGAGCCCAGGACAGACAACCTGGAGTCAAAAGGATACATTCGTGTATGTGTGTACTCTTCTGGTGAGCCTGTTTAAAAGACTGGTAAAAAAATAAATAAAATAATAATTTGTTGTCTTGACATTTTCATGAAATCTGGTAAAAAAATAAATAAAATAATAATAATAATTGGTTGACTTGACATTTTCATGAAATAAAAAAAAAATCCTAAGAAATGACAGTGGTTAATAGAGCAAAGAAAATGACACTGTTAAGACAGTGGTTAATAGAGCAAAGAAAATGTCACTGTTAACGTCATGGTAATCATTTCAGTCAGCATCAGAATATTTTACCGGTAAAAAGATCTAAATTTGAACATCCAGTTTTCAGTGACATTCAACTGATTATAGCTGGGATAAATCACCTGGGAATCCATTTAAAGGATGTCAATTAATTTGAAATAGAGCGAAACCTGTTGGTTACAAATGCTGATGCTGGCGGGCGTCGAACCTGAGGTTGGAGCCTCCACAAACACACTCTGGGTGTTGAGAGGGTATTTTAACCACTAGGTGCTTCAGTGAATTTAAAACACTTCTCCACAGTGTGTGTAAATGACCGTGCATATTGACGATGTCAAGGCGAGGCTGAGTGGATGGACGGTGGCTGACAGCCATTTTCGGTTTCAATTTGCAAATTGTAGATTCTTAATTATTAATTATCTGATATGATGATGGCAGTTTGCATCTGTTTGTGTTAATGCGTGTACTTGTGTGTACATGTATGTGCTGGGTGGGTGTGAGTTTGATAAAGGACGATGTCAGCAGTATTTATACTCTGAGTTATTCTGTGTCTTTTTTATAGCACCCCTCTCTATATCCAGAAATCAGAGATCTTTAGATCAGCTTTGCTAATATGAGATGGAGGGGTGAAAATAATACAGGAAATGTTTACTAATACTTTACTGACAGTAATTAATAAATGAAAATAGCGCACGTGTCACTTCCACATATTTTAGGGTAACGTACTACATGCAGGCATTTGTGTTGCAACACCCCCCAGTGATGATAAAATTGAACTGATCCATTCATGTCACCTGACCACTGACCAGAAGAAAGCAGTGACCCCATGTGATCAAATCCACTAGACACCTCAGTCCCTTAATATTAGCAATTAAACAATTTAGGTTATATTTTGTGGAAATTAAGTAATGTCATTTTTATATGACTAAAATGTTGTCAAATTGTTGTTTCATAAAAAGTGATCGTATCATATCAAATAAAAAACCCCTGGTCTCGCAGAAGGAGGGCAGGGTGTAGAACACCTATAATGTTCTGCTACAGAACACAATGCAAAGCCCCATCCAGAGGCTTTTCCATGGTGAATTTGAGTCACTAATACCACCCACTACAAACAGTACTCCATGAAGACTTTACCACCTGTAATTTAACACAGCCTTAAAGATACAGACATGAGTGAACAAGTATCGATCCACCCTGAGTGACAGACCTTGTTCCAGCCTGGTCTTCCCTCCACTCCTTCACTCTCCCCACTCCCTGCTGTCGCTCACACGTCCAGTCCACGACTCCTGTTTCACGTCCAGTTCCTTTCGAGCTGCTCCGTCTCATCACACTAACCCCGTCCTCGGCCCCCAGCCGGGGCTTTGTACTTCACACTTAGCTCTGAGCACAGATATATGGTGTCACCTGATGTAATGAAGAACTAATGAGCTGTTTAGAGGAGTTGTAGCCTTCGTGGTTGCTGCTCTCCTGTCTTCACACTGTGTGCAGACAACTACAGAAGGCTGTGTGTGTGTGTGTGTGTGTGCGCTGTGTTGTTGTTAGTGTGACACGGCAGAGTTGAGTGGAAAGGGCGCATTACCACTGTCAAGCTCCACTGCCCACCTCATCTCTGTAAGCACTGCTGGATTTTCTAGACTAATACCAGGATGTTGGCCGAGGAAGAAGCAGTCGTGAATTTTTTTTCACCCAGTGTCAGTAAGATATCATCAAGATAGTGAAATCAACATCTGTGAGTTATTCTTTAGAAAAAAAAAAGAAAATTTCTGATTAATTTACTTCAATCACATCAATCAAACAATATTTGACACATTAAAGCAAAGTTTTTCAGTTAAAAATGAGTTTAGCCACTGAATCAATAAATGGATAAATACATTAACATTAGCTTTGCTCTCTGCACCAGGACTGGTGTAGCTAACATTAGCTTTGCTCTCTGCACCAGGACTGGTGTAGCTAACATTAGCTAACAGCTAGCTCTCTGTTGTGTTTTATGTTGAGATTACCTGTTTTTAAAGTGCTTCATTTATCAGAAAACCCTTTGTTGCACAATGTGCACACAACAGGAATCTTATCCACCTGGCTGGCAAATTAACCTTTGGTGCATTACCGCCCCCTCCTGGGCTGGAGAGTGTTACAAGTATGCCAGAAGTTAATGAATTGAGAACGGTGCATGAAATGTGTTATTTTTTCTTTTATTTGTTATTTAAATTAAAATCTCACTCCTAACATTAGAAAACCAAAAATATATAATTTTCACAAGTCATTTATTTAAATAATTTAAATTGCCAGACAGACTAGCACCAGGTGGTTTCCAACATATGTTGAGCAGGATGGCAGCCATCGATTAGCAGCATATCCTTCTCACAGCCATCAGGCTTCATAATGATTAATGTGATAATTATGCAGCACACACTGTCAGATATTATAACAGACCTGTCAAATGGTTTCAATTGCAGTGGCTTATTGAATGTGAAATGTGCCTTTGTGTGTCTTATGGATGTGTAACTTTTTGAAAGCCGCATTTGAAATTCCAAGACCTGTATTTTATATTCTTTACCAGACAGAGCTTAGCAAAAAAAAAAAAAAAAAAAAACACATCAAAGCTTCCTTTCCTTTCGCCTTAATTTCAAACAAAGCAGGAGCCACTGGCAAGGGCACGAAAACCGCTGTTAATCCCTGTGTGTTGGTCTTCTGGGTTTGGGGTTGGGGGCACATTCTCATCTTCACCAAATTGCTCTTGTTGACTAATTGCCCGGGCTCATCAAACCCATGCAGTGACAGTGATATGAGTTCTAAGATGATGCCTGAACCAGCCCTTGTCACGCCTTCCACCTCAGGGGCAGCATGTGTTTCTATGATAAGGCCCATTGCATTTATTTAGAGTAACTCATTAAGCTCTGTTTTTTTTCTAGTCTGCTCTTCAAACTTAGAAACCAGGGAGACGATGCAAAGTCGTTTGTCAGGTCCTGAAATAACAGAATTAAAGAGTTTTATTTACTGAAAAAAACCCTTCAAAAACCATTCAGCAGATGAACAACAAGAGCCTGACCTCATCAGAGTACAGTATAAAATGAACAGAAAATAGAACAAAAATGAACAGTGTTTTTTTTCCTTTTGTTACTTTAATCCATTTATGGAGAAAAGGTTTGTTCAATTATGTTAGAAGCCAATCACACTTTGATAAAATGTGATTGGGTTTAGGTTCACCGCTGATATTTGGAATATTATCTTTCATGACAGAAATTTGAAGTCCATCCAGACCCGACGGTGAGCGTCACACACATGGCCTGTGCGGGGGGCGGAGTGTGGATGGCCTTCTCCGAGGGCTCCTCCATTCGCCTGTTTCACACGGAAACACTGGAGCTTCTGCAGGAAATCAACATCTCCACACGGTCCACCCTGCTGAAAACTGCGTACCTCACAGGGATTCACACTTCATTTGCAAACTATGATATTGGACTACGGATTGCTCACGACACGCTCTCTTTTTATTCCTTCTTCACTAAGACATTAGACCAATGTTTCCAGCTTTTCTTTTCAAAGTAACATTTTTAGACCTCAGTATAAGGGTCATTTTTTTCCTTTAGTATTTTATTTATTTGACCTTTGGGACATAATCCTGTCGTCCACACAGTTGTTTCGAACAACTTTGGTTAAAGTAAAGTAAAGTAGTGTGGGAGGTGTTGGCCGCCGTGCTGGAGAAGCATTCATAACAACGCCATATGTAGAAATTGGCTAAAATGTCCCTTTAATGAAAAGTATTTGAAGAGAAACTCTCAACATTTTTGTTATCCGGGTTTCCAAGGAAACGTGCTTGTTTTTATAGGGAAACATACGACATCCTTTCCTAAAATACGGATAATTGGCAATATGAAGTCCATTTCACACAGTTTTTCCTTTGTGTTTCAGTCTATTTTTTTTTATCCCCTTTTAAGCTAATATTCCCCTTTTTGCTCCACTTTCTCCCTTTCACTACTTGTCTGCTTTCATCTGTTCTGCTTCAAAGCCTACTTACCTCACTGCAATCAATTTAAAGTAGCCCTTTACTTCCTATATAACTGTCTTCAGGAGCGATGAAATATTTATCAGCTATCCTCGCTGTCTGTTTGCGCCCGTATGCATTATGGCAAACAAATTAGATAGCACTGAAGCATCCCTAAAATGATCTGATGGGAATAACTGTACATGCGACTCAATACCTTCCTGCCTTCAATATGTTCAAGCGATGGACCATTAGCTTGTTTTGCTGCATATGACGATCACTCAGAGTTTTTTTGAGCAGGGTTATAATTGCATCTGGATTTAGACAATGTTTTCTTAGTTCTGGAGATTTGCCAGACATTGATTGATGCAATTAGGGCAACGCTGAGCTGAGCTAGAGCGCCTCGTCGAAAAAGGTTTTCTTCGTTGTGCGGCTGATAATCAGAATTTAGAAAGAATGCATATCTTCAACAACAAGTGTCAACCTAAAATACACACATATATATATATATATATACAGCACACGATGGACAGCACACCACTGCAAACATCGCCTCTGCCTAGTGAGCAGGGGCAGCTCGGGGGGCACTTTGTGGGGGATGGTGCCATTCTCAGTGTACCTCAGTGGGACCCAGGGGCTGGTGGATTTGAACCTGCAACCTTCTGGAAACAAGTCTACTTCCTTATATATATTTATATTTTCAAACATTATTATTTGATGTTTATACTGGAATCCAGTTTTGTGACGTTTGGATGGCTTGGCAATCCAGATTTGGCTTTTGAGGCGGCCAAAGCAGGATCACTGCACTGGTGCATGTGTGATCAGAAACAACATTTTTCGTATCAAAGTTGAAAAAGACAGAGGATTTAAGGAAAACAGATTGGTGCGGCCACATTATCTGCTGATCCAGAGGTCATTTTCCTCAGCATCACTGGCCCTGCTGAAATATGCAGCAGATCGGAGGTAGGATGGCGGCAGCCTCAAGGCCGGGCCCCTGGTGGGGGGTTGCAAGGTCAAAAGAGAAAGAGTTGTTGGGCTCATTTCCTGAGGGTCTGGGGAAAAAAAGAAGATCTTTAAGTTGAGTTGTGATTTGCGGGGCTCACATGAGAAAAGACCCTTCCTGGATGTTCTACCACCACAGACAGCGCACATGAAATACCGATAGTTTCTCACTGTCAATAGGTCTGTGCTCCCTTCAGCTTTCTTCTTGACTTATGCTGGGACGTGCTGTAATGATACACTCCCGTAATCCTCTCCCTTTAACGTGATTTATACTCAGTGGGGAACTCCAGTTGTAAACAGAGTTTCGGGGTCAGGATGAAGCTGCTGTTCTCTTTTCTACTAATGCCTTTAATAGTTCTGTCCTCGGGGTGAGGATAATACTCTGTCTAATACTGTGGGGACATTGCCTGTTTTAAGGCAAATCCAGGTTCTTCATGCCTGCTTGTTATGAGTGTGTGTGTGTGTGTGTGTGTGTGTGTGTGTGTGTTTGTGTTTGCAGAAACTGGCTGCAGGATAAGATAAACTTCCTTAAGCTGCAGTGTCTTTGTCATTATCCGTTTTGATCACTCGTCTTATACATGATGCCTGACATGCACTCCCTCCGACTTATCTCCAAATTTCATGGTCACACAAAAGTGGGTGTTGATCAGCCCCACTCTCTCACTTAAGCTCCGACCCAAGTACAAATGGACTGCGGGGCTGTGTGAGCAGGTGGCAGACAGTTTCGGAGATAAAGACTGTTTTCATCAGCGTCTAACTCAACACTTTGCGACCCTCCAAGGTCTCCACCCAGAGGCTTCTGCTGTGTTGGCTGAATACGATCCTCCGCTCGTGCCGCTCGTAGACTCGGCATCAGCTCTTTGCTGCTGGCGATTCATCTCTGCGCGAAAAAAAAAAGAAAAAAAAGAAAAACCTGAATTAATTAATGACACTGTTGTTGAGCCACTCATGCAGATCACTCTAATCCGTGGCGACACTGAACAAGCATGTAAATACAGCTACATATGTAAATGAGGATTGTCCTGGGTGACTCCTTCACATGACTCTGTACTGTAATTCTATTACAGTGGCCGTGAAAAGGATGGTTAATGGTTCTTTGGATAACAGGGCGACACTGTGCTCAGTGTGATGGGAAAACCCCAGAATGAGAAGAATAAACCCTCAGCAAGAATACGTTCTTACACACTAGCAACTAGGAACTGATCAACACACATTAGTTTGTGTGAGTGCGCCCTGAGAGATCCAGCCAGCCATGCCACCTTAAAGATGTTTTAAGGTGGCATGCCCAGGCACCTTAAAGATTCTTTTACATGGTCCATTCTTTAATAAGGAACGTACCACAGGTTGGGTTGCCCCACAGATGGATGAGTCACCAGATGCATTTGTTTTATTAATATCTCTACATAGTGGTGTTTTATGTGGTTTTAACTTTAAAGTATGCCCCGCAGAACTTTAGGCAGGTATAGTACAGGTGCAACAGATAGATTACATTTATATAGAAAACTTTACTCTTTTGAGTTGAACAGATGTTGGATATTTCAACAAAGAAACTTTTCTTTTTTATATCGAAAAAATATTGACTTTTGTGTCGAACTGAACCGAACAGTGAATTTAGTATATTGTAGCACCCCTTATATATATATATATATATGTATATATACATATATATACATATATATATATACAGTATATATATATATAAATATATTTGTTAGTTTGTCCTCACCATCATAAAGGACTCAAATCCACCTTCTTACCAACTTACGTATTTGTGTGGGAGCTGAACGGTTTTAGTCGAGACATGTCAAAGACAAATTTGAATCAGGATAACTAACAAACATGTTGAAATGTTTCATCTCCCCAAGACTGGATGTTCTTTTCCAAAGCACTCTGGAAACCCTGGCTCTGCCTGAAAATCAATGGCAGCTCAAAATTCCGCCGCACCACCGTCTGCTGTTCTCTGAGCTTCGTGTTTTTCCTGCAGCACTAAGTGTTGAATACGAGTGTTGTTTTAGGTTTTGTTTTCTTCTCTACATTGCAGGTCAGAAGAGCATGCGAGTCACCAGTCTCCTGATTTGCCAGGGCCTGTTATGGGTGGGCACCGCCCAGGGCATCATTATCACTCTACCCGTTCCCAAACTAGAGGGCATCCCCAAAATTACAGGTATGGATCGGAGGGAGGGAGGGTGGATGTTTGTGACCCAACAGCCTGATGGGAGGTCAGAGAAGCACTGAGGCCTTTTATTTCATGACAGAAAATGACTGTGCACTGGCCGTTATTGAGGTCACACTTCACATTTTTCTTGTAGCCCTGAGAATCTCTGCCAACATTAGCAGAGGCATCATACAAATCACCCCGTCCACCATAAACACACACCGTATATGCAGTATAGCTAGGAATAGTACTGCAGGGTCGTTTAAAAACCTCTTCCTGGCTGCAGTCTGTCTATGACTTCATGTGAATGAGGTCATTAGAGTCTCACTTGGACAAATCTTGTTACAGCCTAATTTATGACTAAATGTCAAGGGCTTTTTTAACACCGACCATTTCAGTATAGATTAGCACTGTGAAAAAATATCGTGGTATTTGCTTTAAATAATTTGAGATTATTTAAATCACGTGTCAAACTCAAGGCCCGGGGTCCAAATGCGGCCCGCCAAGATGTTCTGTGTGGCCCACGGGAGCTTAAAAACCATTTAGTACAGTCCATGCAGCAGAGTTTCTTAAATGGAGAAACTACGTTTCTCAGGTTAAGAAAGTCACAGAGTTTTACTGTGATTAATCAGATAAGACACTTCAAATGTTCACAGCCCAAGTATAAACACATCTTTCAGACCAGTACAGTCTGTTGTGACTGTCCTGGATATTTAAATGTCTGTGTCCCTCTGTCTGTGTAGGGGAGGGGGGGGGCTCTCTTAATGA